GGAGGAGTCACTGATTGGTTAGGAAGTGGAGTCACTGTTTGGTTAGTGGGAGGAGTCCTTGAGTGGTTAGGGGGTGGAGTCACTGAGTGTTTAGTGGGAGGAGTCACTGAGTGGTTAGTGAGAGAAGTCCGAGTGGTTAGGGGGTGGAATCACTGATTGGTTTGTGAGAGAAGTCTCTGAGTGGTTAGGGGGAGGAGTCACTGAGTGGTTAGGGGAAGGAGTCATTGATTGGTTAGGGGGAGGAGTCACTGAGTGGTTAGTGAGAGAAGTCTCTGAGTGGTTAGGGGGTGGAATCACTGATTGGTTTGTGAGAGAAATCTCTGAGTGTTAGGGGGAGGAGTCACTGAGTGGTTAGGGGAAGGAGTCACTGATTGGTTAGGGGGTGGATTTACTGAGTGGTTAGGGGGAGGAGTTACTGGTTGGTTAGTGGGTGTAGTCACTGAGTTGTTAGGGGGAGGAGTCACTGGTTGGTTAGGGGGTGGAGTCACTGAGTGGTTATGGGGTGGAGTCACTGAGTGGTTAGGGGGTAGAGTCACAGTGATTAGGGGGAGGAGTCACTGAGTGGTTAGGGGGTGGAGTCACTGAGTGGTTAGTGAGAGAAGTCTCTGAGTGGTTAGGGGGAGGAGTCACTGGTTGGTTAGTGGGTGGAGTCACTGGTTGCATTTTAAGAGCTACTCACACAACCCGATCAGCCAATTTCAATAACAACACTACCATGTCCTCCATTGTTGTGACTCCACCCCCTAACAATCTGTTTCTTTTCTTCTTCTGCTATATTTAATGGTGGCTGGCTAACAGCTTAATGGAGCATAATCGCTACCTGCTGGTAAGGTGTGTGGCGTCAATTTTCAGACTTTGGGACCACCAAACTTTACGATGAACCCACCCACTGGAGCTGTTAGTGAAGTGTAAAGATGAACCACCTGAACCGTTCTGAACAGAGTTCAGCCAGGGTGAACCGTGCTGTAGAGCCACTGGTGGAACAGGGTCATAAGGCACAGAGTAAAGTGGAAAACTGGTCTGTGGTCAAAGTGAAAATGTAAAATAGGTTTGGAAACTAAAGATGCCACATCCTCCCTACTAAAGAGAGGGACCATGAAGCCTGTAATCAGCATACTGTTTAAAAGCCTGCCTCTCTGATGGTATAGGGGTGCATTAATGCCTATGGCAGAGACAACAGGCACCTTCAATGCAGAAGAGTAGTATGTGCTCCCTTCTAGTTGTCTTTTAATACAGAAGGTCTTGCACATTTCAGCTAAACAACAACAAACTGGTGCTGAAATCCAGCAAGGACCCAGAACTGTTGAGCAGCTAAAATCCTACATCTGGTAATAATGGGACATTTGTCTGTAAAGACTCCAGAACTGGACTTTTTTTATCCTATAAATGGTACAATTTCTTATTTGAAACATGTGATGCATGATTGCCAAATCACTCTTTTGTTGACTTTCTGAGGAGTACTGTATGCAGAGTCTTGGTCAGAAAACCAGAACACATTTTATTTTAACTGGAAGCAGAAAGTATAGATAAGGTATAAGGTGACTGACTGATCCGTCACTCTTGACCCGCTCTGCAGCCTCGATGGGGTGATTCAGACTGGGCCGGCCCAGGTAGATGTCCTGGCTGTGGTGATAGGATGACAGTAGGTCCAACAGGCTGGGCAGGATCACATAGTTGTCATCATCCACATGGCAGAACCACCTACACACAGGTAAATATTAAAGCAAAGAACTGTCACTTGTAGACGTGATTGTTTCAGCTGCGTGTTTGCTGTTGCAGCTGAGGAACATCTGACTCACTTCTTCTGGGACTCAATGAATTTGTCGTACTCCACAGACATCTTGCAGCACAAAGCCTGTCGGTTGTGAGCAGCTGAGCAGTTTGTGTTGATGATGTGAGCTCCTGAAGAGGAAAAACCAGACAACAGAGTGGTTCAAAGAACAGCATCTTGTTGTGTTGCTTGTTGTTAGTGAATAATTCAAACACACGAGCACTAAACACAGAGTGTTGTGTCAGTATTCGCTACTCTTAGCATCGTCCGTTATGATGCAACACAAGCTGAAAAATTTGTATGCATCAGGTCTGATGTCTGTGAGCTTCTACTGGACTTCCTGTTTGTTCTTCATCACCAAACAGCTCCTTCAGGGTGGATGGTGCTGCTCGTGTCCAACAATCTTAATAAAACCAGGGGTTCTCAGATGGACTGCAGTCTGGACTTTAACTGGGGCGGCTGTGGTGTAGAGGTAGAGCAGCCGGCTTGGGACCAGAAAGTCACAGGTTCAACTCCCTGCCATGCCTACCTACATGTTGTGGTGTCCTTGAGCAACACACCCAACCCCCGGGTGCTCACACAGCTGCCCGCTGCTCCACTTGGCTGTTTTTTATGTGTGATGGGTCAGATTTGATCCTTGCATGGGAACACGCACTGATGACAAATAAAACACTGTAAAGGACCAATATTCAGTGTTTCTCAGGCATATATTTAAATACTTTACCATAATAAAGTATCTATGTCACCTTTAGTTGTTATTAAAATGCTGTTTTTATGTTTAAATAGAAAATAAACTTATCTTCTCATCACTTCCTCTTCTAAACACCTTGAAATTGGCCTCTGTCTCTTTAAGAACCTCCTTCTGCTTCTGTCTCGACCATTTAAGTGTAAGTGTGTGTGTGTG